TTAGGAATCACCTGAGGTATGGCCCACCTGGATACATGATAGATTTAGCTTTCTAACAAAGTGGTTGAAACGGGTAAATCCCCCTCAGCTGGAGTTTGAATGTCTGCCAGCCTTACCTGTTCAAGACACACTTGATCCTGGAAGGCCCTAAAGAAGTTCCTAGTGTGTGTGCTGTGGAGAGGACCCAAGATAAAATGAGGCTGGATAAACTCCTTGGCCAGAAGAAAGGGAGTGGCCATAAAGACCAAACCCCAATGGTACCAAAGCCCAGAAGTGGAAGGGAAATAAAAAACAGAGGAAATTAGAGCAAAGTAGGAAGAAACAATGGTGATTTAAAAATTTTGCTCAAGCTGGAGAAAAGAGGACTCTCTCTCTCTCTCTCTCTCTCTCTCTCTCTCTCTCTCTCTCTCTCTCTCTCTCTCTGTATTAATAATGACTGTAATAATAACATACCTGTTAGATCTGTATAGCCACCTGGAGGTACTCACTGCAGAGCTGAGTAATTCTGCAGAGATCCTGAGAACATCCCTCTCTTTAAAGTAGGGGGATGTTGAAGGCGCACTGACCTGAACTCTAAAGGCTTCTGGGAGCACTGACTGGAAGAGCAGGTGAAGTTCTGCTCTTTTCTGTCATTTAGTCAAGTATTTATTGAACTTCTGCTTTGTGTAGATCCTTTGTGTAGATACTGCTGGGCTGTACAGTTATCTGTACACAATATAAGAATGAATGATGCCATCTTTTACTCATTTATTCACTAATTTATTGAGTACTTATTTTTTCCTAGACACAAAATGTTCTAGGTACTAAAAATACAGTGTTGAACCATACAGAAATCATTCTTGCTCTCACGGAGCATAGATATTAATGAGAAAGACATTACAACAAATAAACACATAAATATATTACAAATTGAGTTAGTCACGTGAAGAAAAATAACAGCTGGTATGATATAACTATAAGGGTGGGATCAATTTAGATTGTGTGCTCTGGGAGCTTAAGCTAAGTACTGAAGGATGAGTAGGGGTTAACCAGGTCAGAACTGGAGCATGGTAACGATGGGGTTAGGAACATTGCAAGTGGGAAGACAGAATTTGTGAAGCCTCAAATTGGGAGTTGGAAGACTGGGAGTGGGTTGATATCCTTAAGGATCTGAAACAGGACTGGTGTGGCTACAATGCCGAGAGGAAGGAATATAGTTACACAAGACGAAGTGGAGAAGATGGCAGGGCTTCCTGAATATCCTTCTGATACAAGTTCCAAAATCTTCAAGTTTCATTACTCTTAATTGGGGGGAAAAATAGAGACTGATTTGTAGCTTGGGAAAGCTGAAAAAATGTTGGTGAATTAGGACATAATTGGTTTAGCTGTACCATAGGCAAGTTGGTGTTGTGTTATGGAATGAATGTGGCTTTGGAAGTAGAGCTAAGTTTGTCACAGCTCTGCTGCTTAATGGTGTGTGACCTTGGGTAAGTTACTAAGTGCCCCTGAGCCTCTGGTCCTTCATCTGTAACATGGAGATAGCAGTGCCCCTTTATTGTGAGAATGAAATCAAATAACGTGTAAAGCACTTAGCAAAGGGCCTGGCTCTTACTAAGTGGTCACTAAGTTGTACCTGCTGTTGTTATCACTTCTCTTCCTCCTCCTCCTCCTCAAGGCTGAAGGACGACAGCCAGATTGTCCATAAAATGTACGCTAAGTGAATCTGATGTATTGGCTAAAGCATGCACTAACTGGCACGCGTGTTGTGATTTTAGACTAGCTCCTATGAATAGCCCTCAGTGGAATGCTTGGAGTCTTTCAGTCTGGCTCAGTGAGAATTGAAAAAGCAGAAGTCTTTTGATAACAAAGGTAAATTATCTGAGCTGTAGATACTTTTGGAAAACTGGCTTTGCATTTCAGAGAAAGACAGCATCTAAGGCTAAACTCACTATGAAAAGCCATAATATTATAAAACACTTTATAGCCTTTTCAGAGAGTATCAATGCAGTTACAGTAAAATAAAGACTTTGGAATGAAGACTCACTGAAAATGCTAACATACAATCTTAAAAACATAGGGTTCCTTTTATCTCACATATAATTTTCTGATTAAATTTAGTGTAAGCAAAGAGGAACCATTTGGGATAAACTGTCATGTAGGTGTCCATGGTTCACTGTCTTATTAATATGGAAATACAGTAAAACCCTGCCATAATACAAAAGGAGCCTAAAAGCTTCAGTCATATTATTAAAGGATAATGAAATAATTCCTAGCTAGCCACTTGGGAGTTCCTAGTGTGTGGAAGCCAATCACGAATTGTGTTCTATCCCAATTCAAGTTGTTGTCCGGTATATTTGAGTGCTAATATGTCAGAATTTTGTTAATGATAGTGAAGATTTTTTTTGGAAAGAGAAAATTATTTGGGAAAAATATACTTTGGCCTTTAATTTAGTTATTAATTTTGTAGGAAAATGCTGTTATAGCTAAACTTTTTTGACTGACCCATAAGAAGAGATATATTTTATTTGTGAACACTACCAATGCACAAATAGGAAACTAAAACAAAAGTTTTATGAAACAGTATGTGTTCCAATATTTTCTCTTATATTCTATTTCAATTTTTAGGAAAATGCTGTGTGTAATTCACTAAACTAATTTTATGACCTAATGAGTCAACAGCTTGTAGTTTGGAAAACATTGCATCAAATGAGTATGTACTAAGTGAAACTTCAGAAAGGAATTCCAGAAGCATAAGATCAGCACAATTTCACCAGTAGTATATCCCTCACCATTAATAATAGATGATTAATAGATGCCAACTCCACATCCTTTGGCTGCCTGGGATGGTCTTTAAAGAAAAAAAGAGAGAAAAAGGGAGACAGATAGATAGAGAGATAGATAGATAGATAGACACTTGTATGTGCATGAACTCTCACTGCAAGGATACATAAGAAATTAATAATAACATGAATTGCTTGAGGAGCAGAGAACTGGGTATCTGTGGGCAGAGGTGGGGATAAGACACTTTAAATACAGTGTTTCCTTTCATTTTTTATTCTTATAAAATTTGAATGATGTGTATATAGTCTAAAAATTAAATTTAAATAAATAAATAAATTCTTCTATATTATTAGAAAAAAGGCGGGGAGGGGACTCTAATATGGATCAGGGTTTGGTAGTAAAGATTGATGAGATAGATAGGAGTTACAGCCTCTATGGTTTGTTTGCTGCCCTTGATCTAGACCAGCTATGTTGACAACACTGTAAGAGAATGTTTAAGTGATTCATTCAGAAGGGTGAATTTGTGTCCCACTCTGTACTTATTATAGGGGGGTATGTACTTTATTATAGAGAGGTTTTTTGGGTTTTTTTCAATAGAACATGGTTAACATTTCAATGTGCTTAAAGTAGAAGTTTTTTGTTTTAAAATTTTAACTTGTTATTTAGAAACAATTTAAAACTTACAGAAAAGTTGTAAAAAAATAGGAAAACTACAAATACTACCTGTTCTCAGATTTACATTTTGTTAACATTTTATTGCATTTGCTTTATCATTTTACCTGTCTACACATCTGATTTATTTTTTTCTGAACTATTTGAGAGAAACAAATACCATGTCCCTTTATTCCTAACTACTTCAAAGTATATTTTCTAAAATTAGGGATATTCTCTTAACTATAGTACAGTTATCAGCTCTAGTAAATTTAATATCAATACCATACATTTTTGTAATCTATTGCCTGTTTTCTGTTTTTGTCAATTGACCTAGGAATGTCCTTTATAGCGGTTTTTTTTTCCCCCTGTCTGGCACAGGATCTTGATCAGGGTTAGGTATTACATTTAGTTGTGTCTCTTTAGCCGCCTTTGATCAGAAACATTTCCAGTCTTTATTTCTTTTTTACAACATTGAAATTTATAAAGAATATAGCTCTTCCCCTTTTATAAATAGAATGTTGATCATTCTGGGGTGGCCCCATTGTGTAATGGTTAGCACTCTGGACTTTGAATGTTGATCATTCTGGTATTCCTTCATGATTGGATTTATGGACCCCTACTTCACAAACTATCTAAAAACTAACTGATTGGCCAGAATATTACATAGCTGATGTGCCTTTCTGAAAATGTTGTATCTGGAGGCACAGGAAGTCTATCTGTCCCTCATAGTGATATTAGAGTACTTTATCAAGGTGTTGTTTAGTTTCTACTGTATAATAAATATTTTTCCTTTGCAACTAATAAGCAATCCCTGGGAAGACATTTTAAACCATGCAAAATATCCTGCTCCTCACCTAGATTTAGCATCCATTGATTGGCCTTGCTTTCCAATCTTTACTGTGTTGGTTGCAAAATGCTGATTTTTCCAATTCTAGTACTACTTCCACATTTACCAGTTGACACTAGGCATTCTACTGTAAAAAAAGAGTCCTCCTTTCATCCCCTTTTATTTGTTGTTATGAACTCATGAATTTTTCCTTTGATTCTCTCAATTACTCATAATTCATTACTATGTAGAGGATTTGATTCTGAGTGTAGCAGATGACTTCAGGAGGTCAGTAACCACCCTGAAATTGTGTGCCAAGGTCTGTGTTGTTCAAACATCTTTCTGGGGATAGTATCCATGACTTTTATCAAAATCTCTAGGATTCTTGATTCAAACAGGGTTAAGTTCCACTAGATTGAAAAGTTAAATGTTAAGCTACCTCTAACCCTTACATATTTGTATATTCTTTTATTCATATGCTTTCTACCCCAAGTGATAAATAACTGAAATGTTAGAACCATTGCATGTGTTCCTCTGTAGGTAGGTACATTCCATTTTTTTGTCTACTGTTTTTAAGCCACAACTGAAAATAGTACTTACTATATTTTGGTTTCTTTATTTTTTTTTGTGGGAATATATAACATTAATATCTTCATTGTCACTGTAGCAGCAGTTTATGGTGTATAGAGCCAGTGATGTGAAGCAACAAATAATCTTGATTTACTTTGAAATTTTAAAACCGATGTTTTTTACACTATAGTTTTATTAGCTCTCTGGGAGTAAGCTACATGATGTTGTGCACTGAAAATTACCCAAATGTTCTGGCCTTCTCTTTCCTGGATGAGCTTCAGAAGGAGTTCATTACTACTTATAACATGATGAAGACAAACACTGCTGTCAGACCATACTGTTTCATTGAATTTGGTAAGGGCCTGATTTTTTTTTCCTTTTCATTATCCTGTCTCCAGCCAGTCATAAACAATTTTTCATCTAATACTTGGACGGGGTGGGGCGGGAGAAGGGAGAAAACTCGGAAAATTCTGCTTCCTTGCTTTTGATAGAATAATTTGACAAATGGTCTATGAATTATAGCAATGTCTTCATTTAGGTGCCTTTTAGAAAAAAAAATGTGTTTGAGCTATGGAGGTGATTGTGATTATCGGCACAAAGAATTAATCCTGAAGGACAGCTTCTCAATGAGAAATTTATAAGCCAGAGATTCAGAATTTTGTGTTTGTGATAGTCTGCTTAATGAAGAACAGAAGTTGGCAAACATTTGCTGGAAAGGACCATATAGTACATATTTTAGGCTTTAAGGACGATATGGTCTCTGTCACAACTACTTAGCCCTACCATTATAGCTGGAAAGCACCCATAGGCAATATATAAATGTATGAGTGTAGTTATACTTTAATAAAACTTTATTTATGTATACAGTCAGCAGGCTAAATTTGGCCTGTGGACATTCCTTGAAGTTTGCTCTAGAAGGAAGAAAAAAAAAGTAAAACCAAGTTATAAACAGTGAAAATAAAATTGGAAGACTATTTAGGAAATATCTTAGAAGATATTTAGGAAATGTCTTTTATTTATTTCATTAAATTTATTCTCTAAACTATACATTTTAATGGTGTAAGCAGTAAATAAGAAAGCAGGTTTTATAAGAACAGGGAATTTACATGTATGCTCTTATGTAATTAAACTGGTAAATGCTGACAGACTTAATATTTTATGAGATATGAATTCATATAAAAATTAAGATTTGGGTTTAAAGACTAAAGCTGTTATTGTTTTGTTGTAAAAGTAAGTTCAAAGTAACTCCTTGAAGTGGATATAATAGTAGAAATATTCTTACAGTCATGTAGTTGTAAGTCCTTAGTTTATTTGTAATAACTAATTTCTAGAGTGTGAAATGACTCCATGATATATTAATCATTAAATACAAATAATATTAGAACACTCCATGATAAATTGAACAGTTTTGGATAACAAATTAAACAGTTTACCTGCAAAATTTGCTGTCCATAAACATCACACTCTCAAATGATTTAATTAACAAATGACTGCAAGGAAATTTATTTTTTATTTTACATAGATAACTTCATTCAGAGGACCAAGCAGCGATATAATAATCCCAGGTCTCTTTCAACAAAGATAAATCTGTCTGACATGCAGATGGAAATCAAGCTGAGGCCCCCTTATCAAATTTCCATGTGTGAACTGGGGCCAGCCAATGGAGTCACATCTGCATTTTCTGTTGACTATAAAGGTGCTGGTAAGATTTCTTCCGGTGAGTTTTGGATCTCAATTATTTTATTAAAAAAATATTTTATAAGACCTGAGGAACGCTTGAAAATGAATTACTTTGTTCTGATATTTAAAGCAAGTACATGAGAGAAAATAGAAGTTCAAAGTAAGTTCAAAGTAATCCGTTCTCCCAGTGGTTTATATAGTAATCTATCAGATATGTGACTAATCAGGACAATACTTTTAAATAGCAATCTCAGGAACTCTTTGCTAGGGAAACATTTAAGGAGATTGCTTTGTAAATATTTGAGTAGAAATTGAATAGTTTATTTGAAATATGTATTTATAGGCATGTAAAGTGCTTTGTAGTACATCAAAATGCTACATTCAAGGCCAGGGATTTTGACTGTCACAGAAAATGTGATCATCTGAAACCTCCCTTCTCAAACAAGGAATACAGTTATGACAAGTTGAAAACTTCTGCTTAAAAATGGAAACCTTATTATTTTATAAGGTAGCATATGCCATAGTTGAATTTCTTGTCTAAAAAATTCTTCCTTATATTTGAGCAAAGGTCTGTTTTCTATAATGTCTACCTGTTTGTCTAAGCTCTGTGACCTCTACCTCTCTCTCTTCAGCTGTACCAGAATAGCACTTCATAACTTTGAAGTCAGCAACTCTGTGTCTTTTCCATCCCATTTGTCTGATCAACTTCATAAAAAATGTCCTTGATTCCCTTAGCCTCTTTGTCTGTGGCATTTTGAAACCCTATCCTGGAAGCTTTGTATATATTTTGTTAGTATTCTTCACGTGGCGTTCAGGACTGAACACTTCACATTTGGTTTAGTAAAAATTATGGGAGAAAAGGGGAAGCAGATTTGACTAAATCCAGCCAGTCAGGAAACAAGTAAATAAGCAAATAGCAATAATAGCTCTGGGGGAGAGGAGGTGGACCAGTACCCAAAATTGTTACAACATGTTGTCTAAAATGTCCAGTTTCCAACAAAAAATCACAGGACATACAGAGGAAGAGGAAAGTATAATACGTGCACTGGGGGGAGGGGAAGCAGGCACTAGAACCTGCCTGTGAGAGTGACCAGATGTCCCATTTAACACAGACATAGACTTCAAAGTAGCCATTATCGTTATTTTCAAAGAACTAAAATACACCATGATTAAAAAAGTAAGGAAGATATGATAATGAGATCTCATCAAATAGACAATAAAACACAAAGAGATAGAAATTATAAAGAAAAAGAACCAAATGGAAATTCTGGGATTGAAAAATTCAACTGAAGTGAAAAATTCACTTGTGGGGCTCAATAGTAGATTTGAACTGGCATAAGAAAGAGTTAGCAAACTCGAAGATAGATCAATAGAGGTTATGAAATTCAAAGAACAGAGAGAAAAAAGAATGAAGAACAGAACCTTAGAAAAATGGGATACTATTAAGCAAACCAATATTTGCATGATGTGAGAACCAGGAGAGGAAAGAGAGAAAGGAGCAGAAAAAGTATTTGAGGAAATAATGGCAGAAAAGTTTCCGAGTTTACTCAAAAACATTAATCCACTCATCCAGGAAGCTCATTTAACTCCAAATAGGATACATACAAGAGACCTACAAATCGATGAATCATACAAAAACACTGAAAGACAAAGACAAGGAGAAAATCTTGAAAACAGCAAGAAAAAAACAACCTGCTACTTACAAGAACACCCCAATAAGATTAACAACTGACTTCTCAACAGAAACAATGGAGACCTGAAGGTAGTGGAAGAACATGTTTGAAATGCTCAAAGTGGGGAAAAAACTTGTCAACCAAGAATCCTATATCCAGCAAAGCTATCTTTCAAAAATGAATGTGGAATAGACATTTGCAGGTAAGCAGAAGATGAGAGAATTTGTTGCTAGCAGACTCACCTTATAAGAAATACCAAAGGAAGTTCTTCAGGCTGAAAGCAAGTAACTCAGACACTAATTTGAAGTCACCCCAACCCCCAAAATCAAAGAGCAATGGTAAGACAGTAAAAGTGCATTTTTTTAAAAAAAAAGCAATCATATAAAACAATGTATATAATGTATTGTTGGTCTTATACATATAGACATGAAATATATATTCTAATAACAGCACAAGGGAGGTGGATGTGAGCAAAGCTGCAGTAGGCTAAGGACATGACTCCAGGTGCTAATTTGAATCCACAGAAACAAATAAGAAAGCCAGAAATGATCAAAATATTAACAAACCTATAAAAGTATAATTGCTCCCTTTTCTTAGCTTCTTTAAAAGACAGATAGATAATTATGTAAAGTAATAATTATATAACAATGTATTTTGAGTTTGTAACATTTATAAGTGTAAAATGGATAACAACCTTGCCGCAGAAAAGGGAGAAAGGCAATTGAGCAATATAGGAATAATGTTTCTGTAACTCACTGGAATGAAGTTAGTATAAATCTGAAGCTGTTTCTGGTGAGATGTATATGGTGAGTCCTAGAGCAGCCACTAAGCCGATAACTTTAAAAATAGTAAAAAATCGTTAAAGAAGTTATGTTGCCATGTAAAATACTGACTTAATGCAATGATAGTAAAGGAGGAATAGAGCAAAAAGCATGAGACATACAGAAATAAGTAAAATGGTAGATGTAAATTCACTATAACAATAATAACATTGTATGTGAATATAATAACATATTACACAAAATGCAGTTGGTTGAAACTTTCCAATCAAACGTCAGAGATTGTAAGAGTGAATTAAAAATAAAAATTCAAAGATACAATTAGATTGGAAGTAAAAGGAAGAAAAAAAAGATATATAATGCAAACAGCAACCAAAAGAGAGCTAGAGTGGCTCTACTGATATCAGACAAAATGGACATTAAGACAAAAATTGCTACTAGAGAGAAATAAGGACATTTTATAATGATAAAAGAGTCCATTAAGGTATAACAATTATAAACACACAAGCATTTAAGAACAGACCTCAAAATACATGAAGCAAAACCTGCCAGAAATGAAGGGAGAAATAGATAATTAAACAGTAATAGTTGAAGACAAATACCCAACTTTAAATAATGGGTAGAACTAGGCAGAAGATCAACAAGGAAATATATTTGAACAACATAAACCAACAAACGTCTATAGAACATTCCATCCAACAATAGAAAATATGTTCTCTGAAATGTAATGGAACATTTTCCAGGATAGACCCTATGCTAAGCTATGGTAAAAATTCATAAATTTGACAGGATAGAAATAATACAAAGTAAGTTCTGCAACCACAATGGAATGAAATTAGAAATTAATAACAAAGAAATTTGGTAAACTCACAAATATGTGGAAATTAATACAATCCTAAATAATGAATAGGTCGAAGAAGAAATCCAAAGGGGATTTTATACTTTGAGATGAATGAAGATGAAGACACAATGCATCAACTTAATGAGATGCAGCTAATGCTGTGCTTAGAGGAAAATTTATAGCTATTCATACCTATATTTAAAAAACTCTAAAGTGAATAACTTAACCTTCCACCTGGAAAGACACTATAAAAAGAAAAGCAAATTAAGCCTAAAGCAAGTAGAAGGAAGGAAATAATAAAGATTAGATCAGAAATAAATGAAAATGAAAGGAAATAGAAAAACATTAAGAGAAAAACCAATGAAGCCAAAAACTTATTCTTTGACTGTATGGTTCTGATGTAGGGTTAGACAGATCAACAGTATAGAATTGAGAGTACAGAAAAAAAAACCCTTTGCATTATGGTCACTTAATTTTTAACAAGGATGCCAAGACAATGGTGAAAGAATAATCTTTCAACAGATGATGCTGGTACAAGTGGATATTCATGTGCAAAAGAATGAAGTTGGATCCCTACCTTACAAACTATCTAAAAACAAACTCAAAGTGGATCAAAGACCTATATTTAACAGCAAAAACTATAAAACTCTTAGAAGAAAGCAAAGATGTAAATCTTTATGACTTTATATTAGGAAATGGTTTTTCAGATTTGACACCAAAACTACAGTGAAAAAAAAAATAGATAAGGTGAAATTCATCAATATAAAACTTTTTTTTGTTCTCCAAAAGACACTATCGAGAAATTGAAAAGATAATCCACAGACACAGAAAATATTTGCAGATCATATATCTTATAAGGCATTTGTATCTAGGACATATAACAACTCAACAGTAAAAGACAATAATCCAATTTCAAAATGGGAAAAGAATTTGTATAGACAAAGAAAATGTGCAACTGGCTAATTAGCATATGAAAAGATGCTCAACATTATTAGCTATTAGTGAAATGCAAAGCAAAATGATAAGGAGATACTACTTTATACCCACTAGGATGGCTATAATAAAGACAGACAATAACAAGTGTTAGCAAGGATGTGGAAAAATTTGAACCCTCATATGTTGCTGGTGGAGTTGTAAAATAGTGCACCTGCTTTGGAAAATAGTTTGGAAGTTCCTCAAAAAGGTAAACATAGAGTTACCATATGACCTAACAATTCTACGCCTAGGTGCATACCCCACAGAATTAAAAATGTATATCTAAACAAAAATGTGTACATGAGTGTTCATAGCATTATTCATAGCAAGTGAAAAGCAGAAACAACCCAAATATCCATCAACTGGTGAATGAATAAACATATGATATATCCATACTATAGAATATTATTAAGCAATAAAAAAGGAATCAAGTATTGATACATAGTACAACATGTATGAACCTTCAAATATTGAGCTATGTGAAAGAAGCCATCTAGAAAAGTCCACATATTTAAAATTTATTTTATACAAAATGTCCATAATAGGCAAATCCATAGAGACAGGAGCTGGAGGGATAGAGGGAAATAGGCAATGACTACTACTAATGGTTATGAGGTTTCTTTTTGGGGTGATGAAATGTTGTGGAATTAGATATTTATGGTGGTTGCACAATTCCAACTCTGAATGTACTAAAAACTTCTGAATTACACACTTGAAAAGGGTGAATTTTATTGTATGTGGATTATATTTTAATTTTTTAAATTACTAA